AAAATTATTTCATGCAATGCAGAAAATACAATGCATCATCCTGTAACAATATCTTTTGTTGTTGTTGTTGTTTTTGAGACGGAGTCTCGCTCTGTTGCCCAGGCTGGAGTTCAGTGGCCGGATCTCAGCTCACTGCAAGTTCCGCCTCCCGGGTTTATGCCATTCTCCTGCCTCAGCCTCCCGAGTAGCTGGGACTACAGACGCCCGCCACCTCGCCCAGCTAGTTTTTTGTTTTGTATTTTTTAGTAGAGACGGGGTTTCACCTTGTTAGCCAGGATGGTCTCAATCTCCTGACCTCGTGACCCGCCCGTCTCAACTTCCCAAAGAACAGTATCTTTACATCTAAGTCCTGATCTGAAATGCCAAATGACAACAACAACAACAAAACCTTTTTAAGTTGTTTTGGAGACGAGGTCTCGCTATGTTGGCCAGGCTGGCCTCAAACTCCTGGGCTTATGTGATCCCCCCGTTTGGGCATCCCATGAGTAACTGGGACCACAGGCATGCACACCACATCCATGACCTCGTGGATGACCCCATCCAGCTCACCTCCCTTTTAATACATTTCAAGGTCTTATTTTAACCACTACTGCTCCGCAGCAATCACTCAAGACCCAACCTGAGAACTAAGAACACAATAATCAAATGCCAAGGTCTGGATCAATTTTTCAACCGAACACACTTAAGCTACTCTTTGTTGGCATCAGCTGTGGTACAAGAGACAAATTTGAGCAATCCAGAAAGGTAGCCTGAAATCACCAGTATCACCTGCTGCAACTTGAAACCTTCTGTTCTAATGATGGTATATAAGCTCTGCTGCACCTTTATTATTGTTAAAATATTTGCAACTTACAGAATTCTCTGCACAAACCGATTTGGTTGTAAAGCACCTGACTGGTGGCAAAATGTTGCTAACGAAACAGGCAGTGTGTCCACAGATATCTGAAACTGAAGAATCATCAAATTGTTGTGGTCACAGCAATTACAAAGCATGAAAAGAAGATCACAATTTGAAGGAAACAAGTCTGAACAAGAGTAATTCCTCAGCAGTCTTAGGGGAGAAGAGCAGGTTTCTATTACACATGGAATTTGTTACCGCATAGTATATTAGTTTTAACAGAAAAAAATTCATGCAAAAATAAATCATCAAGCTTAACCTTATTTTTTAAAGGAAGCTAAAACAAACATATACAAAGCATAGTGTCCTCCTTGATATTTCAACTTAATTGTTACCATCTGCCCTTTCACTGCAGGAATTGTCCACATATTCCACGGGAAGAAACATCGGTGGAAAACAAGGATGTTTCTGCTTTTAACTTCTTTGTTTCTCCTACCAAGTCACCCTTTTCTGATTGGCCCCTGCTGAGGACAACATGCCGCCCCTTCACTACTGAAAGCAATTTTCCTTTGTTTTTCGAGGTCCTTTCCAATGTGCCTTTGATTACTGGGCTCTTTCTGTTCCTTCTTTGGTTCTCTGATGCCCCGTGATCCAGTTCAGCATGCCAAGCGACCTGTCTGGCCAGTCCTCAGAATCACTTTTCACCTTTCTCTTTTATCCCCTGTAACCGAGGTCCATCCTCCCCTTTTCCTATCTCTCCCATTCTCCATCACCATTGCCACCAGCCTCCTCCCTCGGTGCCTCTCATTCGCTGCAACAACTCTCAGGTACCTTCCGCCCTCCTGATGTTGCCCTGCAGAACACGCAGACTTTCGGCATGGTGTTTGCTTGGCAAAGAGCACATACTCAGACTCCAGTTCCTACTGCTTCGGAGGCAAGCTCTTGTGAGTGGCTTTTAAGACTCTGCCAACCAGGCGCAGTGGCTCACGTCTATAATCCCAGCCCTTTGGGAGGCCAAGGCAGGTGGATCACCTGAGGTCAGGAGTTTGAGACCAGCCTGCCCAACATGGTGAAACCCCATCTCTACTAAACATACAAAAATTAGCCGGGTGTGGTGGCAGACGCCTGCAATCCCAGCTACTCGGGAGGCTGAGGCAGGAGAATCGCTTGAACCCGGAGGCAGAGGTTGCAGTGAGCCGAGATCACGCCATTGCACTCCAGCCTGGGTGACAGAGCAAAACTCCAAAAAGAGACTCTGCCCTCCCACGACAAGGCTCCCAGCAGGCAGGAGAGGACTGAAGATTCAGAGGGAGGCCTGGGGTCCCCGGGGACCTGAGTTGCCATCTTCACTCTGTTCTTATTGATATGACCATGGACAAACCATCTTGTGTCTCTAATCCTCCACTTTCTCAACTATAAAATGAGGATGAAAGTAGTAGCTACCCCATACAATTGTTTTAATCTTTTAATAAAACATTAAAAGAATATTCCATCTGTGACAATATTTAGAAGGGGTTTTCAAATCTCCGGGTCTCAGATGACTCCCATTCACCCCAGCCTAGCAATCCTCCCTTCTCCGAAGTTCTGTGATGTCCTTGTGCACCGTCTCCCCCAGCAGACGGACTCACCCCTCTAGTGTTTTCACAGAGCTCAGGGCCAGTTCATTCTTGCTTTGAACAACGGGAGTCTAAGCCAAGTCGGTTCTTTATTGTTTTCAAAATGGGGAGTGCAAAAACACCAATTCCATGTTAAAACTGGTCTTAAAACCCCTAACACAAAGTTATTACCATAAACGTAGATTCAGTCTGTTACTAATGGAAATTAGTAACATGAATGTTCTGGAAGTCGTCTTGAGCCACTCAGCCTGCCTCATCTGTCCCTCTCTGAGCCCCCAGGGACCTTGGCAGCTTGGCACTCAGTAGTTCTCCAAGAGAAACCTTTCCCTGAAGACAGAAACTGTATCTGAAATGTCCCCTGGAACCTCTCTACACAAGGTCACGGCCAGCACCTGCCACAGGCCTCTTGTTCTGCAGCAACCCCTGAGTTGTTGGTTGGTTTTGGTCTTTGGTACACTAGCACTTCCTCTTTCTTGATTTTAAAAAACGATTTTCCTCACCCTGCTCCCGCCACGGATCTACTTTTTCTTGAGGAATGAGCCTGAAACGAAGGAAGAAGCAGGGGAGACACTGATTGGAGTCAAAAACCTTTTCTAGGTCCCCATATGTGTGACAGTTATGAATGTCAAGATTCTAAAGTTTTATACAGTCTCATCTTTGTTTTGGTCCTACAAGGAGGAGGACAGCCCAGACTGGGTAAAGTTGGACAGAGGACAGAGGCTCTCTCCCCTCCCGACTTCTCCTGTTAATGCACTCATAGTAATGCAATGACCTGAGGTATTTTGAAAACCACCCTCTTTTCAAAATAAGGAAGCTGGGGTTTTAGAAGTCGTATTTCATGTACTTAGAGGGTAAAGTTACAGTGCCGGGGACACAGTGCTCACTAGGGCAGAGATTTCAACACTGTCAGCTTCCTGGGAGATTGCCGCAGACCTTGTCTTCTTGTTTTGATTTTTTGTTTACAGTTGATTGTTAGAAGAAGACAAAACGCTGAGAAATGTAACACCCTGTCCAGCAATGTTTATCATTAGACTTCAAATACATATGGTTGATTGAAATGGGGAAGAAGATCCTGAGGCCTTTCTAGAGATGATTTGGAATTGCCCCCTATGCTGCCAGGGCAGCTCGCAGTAATTATGTTTTGCTCTCAGGCAAGGAAAAGCCTGAAGGACAATGGCTTCAGCAAACCAAAGGAACATGAGAAGAGAAGGCTAATTCTGCCACCGTCCGTGTGACTTGGCACGCTGTGAGCGAAATGGACGGGATGCAGTTCGAAAGCAAAGAAATCGGGCTGAACCACTTCACCCCTCTGGCTAGATGACTCAAATACAGTAAGTCTTGCTAAGGGACAGGACACTTAAGTAGATGAACGCCAGGGCGTGCGTTAAACACAACCTTCCCGATTTAGTGGGGAGAAACCCCAGCCACGATGCCCACACTGTATAAGTGCCTCCCACAGTCTTTGTCCCTGGAGCTCTCACAAATCTGTGACAATATTTAGAAGCGGTTTTCAAATCTCCGGGTCTCTGATGACTCCCATTCACCCCAGCCTAGCAATCCTCCCTTCTCCAAAGTTCTGTGATGTCCTTGTGCACCGTCTCCCCCAGCAGACGGACTCACCCCTCTAGTGTTTTCACGGAGCTCATGGCCAGTTCATTCTTGCTCTGAACAACGGGAGTCTAAGCCAAGTCAGTTCTTTATCGTTTTCAGAATGGGGAGTGCAAAAACACCAATTCCATGTTAAAACTGGTCTTAAAACCCCTAACACAAATTTATTACTATAAACGTAGAATCAGTCTGTTACTAATGGAAAGCATGTCCATTTCTTTACCTGAGTATCAAAGACAGGTCAGCTTGCCTCCTTCAAAAAGGTGGTATTTAAAGCCTCAAAGGATTACTCCAATGTTCCCTACATTATAATTTACTCCACTGGTACTGAAGGAGATAAATTAAGTGCTAAGAAAATGACAGCACTTAGTGAAGAGATCCAAATGAATCTGAACTCCTGGGTTAGCCCATCTTTAGACTTAACAAACTTTTGTTGTTTAAACAGGTTCTCACTCTGTTGCCCAGGTTGGAGTGCAGTGGTACGATCACAGCTCACTGCAGCCTTGACCTCCCAGGTTCAAGTGATCCTCTCATCTCAGCCTCCCAAGTAGCTGGGACTACAGGTATGCACCACCACACTTGGCTAATTCTTGTATTTTTTGTAGAGACAGAGTCTCACTACGTTGCCCAGGCTGGACTCAAACTCCTGGGCTCCAGCAATCCACCCACCTCGGCCTCCCAAAGTGTTAGGATTAACCTCATGAACCACCGCGCTTGGCCCAAACTTCTGTAAACGAAAAAAAATGTTGCTATATGATAAAATTTATTTTTGGATGAAGATAACTTCTAAGGTTAGAAAGGTAGCTCCCTATCAGGCACTCGGTACACATTCACTGGCTGAAGGTGAGGAGTGAGCGCTCTCTTTAGGGGCAGTTTGTAAAGAGGCCTCCTCCCAGACCTGAGTCAGTGGGAGGGATCCAACCACCGGCCGTGCTCACCTGTCCTCGAAGCACACCGTGCACTTCCAGGCATGGGTCCCCCTCAGGAACACTCGGCAATGGGCACACACGCGGTGGCTGCAGCCCCGGCACACGGCGCCCCGGTGCAGCAGGAGCCCCAGCACCCTCTGGCAGCGCGCACAGCACTTCTCTTTGTACTCCTGGTCCGTGCTCTTCGCTCCTTTCCACCGGAGATGCTGCAGGTGCGTTTTCAGTTTCCTGCAGCCCACAAAGTTAAAGAAGATACTATTGGATGGAACACCCAACCCCAGGCTACAGGGCAAGAGCCCAGAGGGTATCCCCCATGGCAAGGGAAGGGGCTTTGGCATTTGACATCCCTGGGCTCCCACATGGCTGTGCGAACTGGGCTCCCACTCAATGTCTCAGAGTCGAGGCTCAAGGGTTTCCTCAACCGTGAAACAGGCGAGGTAAGGTACGACCTTACCTCTACTCCCAGGGTTGCTGTGAGGACTAAATGGCAAAGTATAAATAACATGCCTGGTGCAGAGAAGCTCCCCGCTAGATCCATCCCTTCCTGCCCAAAGGCTGTTAAGATAGTAAGCAAGAATAGTGAAACGAGAGGAAAAGACACCGAAAACAGCATCCATTCCAATCTGCAAGGCATGGAACGATCCAGAAATACACAGCATATATCCCTGCTATTGGTATAAGTTACCCAATAAAATCAACTGATGCTATGCTTTTGCTACGTTTTTGTTGTTGTTGTTGTTGTTGTTGTTGTTTTAATGAGTGGTCAGCTCACTCCCCTAGACAAATAGCCATAGTGCAAAGAGACATTGTATTGGACCAAAAAGGCGTCATTTACCGGCATACTCTTTTATGAATGTCTGTGATACCTACTTGTAGAAGAGATGAGCCAATCCCAAGAAACAAGATGACATCAGAAATGCACTTTAAAATGCAACTTTCAGGATCTACCCTAGAATTAGTACCCTTTGAGATACAACTTCGTTACCACTATGTCTATGTCACCTTGTTAATATTCAAAATGATGTCTCTAAATCACTGAAAGATCTTTCATCATCAAATAAAACTTCACTTTTCTCACTGTATTGTAGTTTTTTATTTTCTTTTTCTTTCTTTCTTTTTTTTTTTTTTTTTGAGACAGAAATCTCGCTCTGTCACCCAGGCTGGAGTGCAGTGACGCGATCTCGACTCACTGCAAGCTCCACCTCCCACGTTCAAGGGATTCTCCTGTCTCAGCCTCCCGAGTACCTGGGATTACAGGCACCTGCCACCATGCCCAGCTAATTTTTGCATTTTTAGAAGAGACAGGGTTTCACTATGTTGGCCAGGCTGGTCTCGAATTCTTGACCTCAGGTGATCTGCCTGCCTCAGCCTCCCAAAGTGCTGGGATGACAGGTGTGAGCCACCGTGCCCAGCCTGTATTATAGTTTTTAGCGGAAGAAAGTTTACAAGTACACTTAGAGAGCTCTGAAGTAACAGAGAGGATGAAGCAAGAATACTATACCAGAAAATTCCCCTCACTCCTCAAGCATTTGGTTGTCCAAAGTTTTGTTTTCTAATGTGTTCTGCCATTAGAAACCAAACCCTCACTTCCTCCATAGACGCTGATAAAAAGCGCCAACCTGTTTAAAGATGGATCTTGACAGCTAAGGCTGAACACGGCTCTGATAGAGTTCAGCACACTTTTCTAAATGTTAACCCATATCAAACGGCCCAGGCAGCTTAGAGACAGACAGGGAAGAAGTTCCCTGTTGGCAAACCGGTCAGGAAACAGGCTAAGCAGGTTCATATTTTATGCTCTCCCCCCTTTCCTCAAAGCCAGCTGGGAAGCAAAAGCAAGCAAAGAAAAAAGACAGTGCTGGATTCCATCAGATTTGCTGCTTCTGAACTGCTTTCTTTGCTTTTCTTTACACCTTCAGGCACCGTCAAAAATGAGGTAGGAAAACCCTTAACCCGAGGTCTTTCCCTAAATAAGTGGTAAACTAGAAGCCTGAAAATGTCCCTTGAATGATTCCCACCAAGTCGGCAAACAGACAAGCAGATGGCAAACAGCAAACTCACCGCCCAAACGCACTGTTTTAAATGAATAACAAGAGCGGCCTCCCTTGTCCCAGGCATCCTCTACGTTGAGCTACATAAGGAGGATCATCTCCACCAACAGCCCTTTGTTAGGACCCTTCTCAGTCATGAAGCCCAGCAGCAGGTGGGTAGCGATTTGGAAGCAAGCAGCATCAGAGACGGAGTGGCAGGCCCCAAGCAGAGAAAGCTAAAACCCCAAGTGACCCCACGGGAAGGACAGCCTACCGTATCCTCTCCTCCTCTGCGTTTTGAACCTCCTGGTCTCGGTACAGGACCTGGAGAATGGCCTCGCGTTCTAACTCCTTGAGAGCATTCAGATCTACTTCTTGGGCCATTTCTTCTCCCTTTTCGTTGACCCAGGTTGGAAGAGCTTCACTCCATGGACCAAGCGCTCGCGCCCTGCAGATGAGCGGCGGAGGCCAGCTGCAGCCAGCCTTGTTTAAAGAGCTCCCTCTCCTATTTCACTGGCGACTGTTTTGCTTGTGGCTCTTTTTTCCTTTTTAACTGTGTCATACTCCTTAGAAGAAGAAAGCCTCAAGAGGTTGTGTGTTGGTCGGAGTTACAGCTCGCAGAGCCTTGTGCCACCCGGGGGTGTCTTCACGGGGTTCTGCTGCAGCCGCTGACATCCATCTAAGACAAAAGCGTATCTTTTTTCTGAGGTTTCACCAGATAAATCATCCACAGCTGCAAGCAGATAATTTCTGCAAAACAGAAGTAATCTTCAAGCCAAGGAAATTTACAAATAGCAATGAAGAGTATCAGTGACTCATAGAAGCTAACCTTCCACTTAAGATGTTTCCAGGTCAGCAGGAACCATCATTAAAAGCCCAACTCCTTCAATACCTGTAGACAAGAAAACAAAAAAATGGCAACATTTTTCTTGGCTTAAGTATCTCTGCAGCATTACTTCCAAAAAGACAAAATATTCTACACAAACCCTTGCATTTTTTGCTCGTGGTGATAACGTAAACTTTTAAATTTCTTAAATAACCCTTCTCATATTTCTAAAAGCCTCAGACTTCCAAACTTGAATTTTCCTAATATGAATTCCGTAACTTCAGTGGCCAGAGGACATAAAAGTCTGGTTTAATGTACATTATCCTAATTGAAGACACATTGGAAAAATGGCATTCCCAACTGTTGGCTCTTACTTTTACAATTAACTTCAACACTCAGAAATGTTTTAATCAGTGAAGGAGGTATGAAGTGGCATCACCACAAGCTCAGTCTATCAATTATTTACCGTCTTGAATAAGTTTCATGAGCTGCCTTATGCATTTGCTCTTGTTTTTGTTTAATGACAGTTGAAAGGTTCTGCATACATCCTTTTATCCAGAGAATGCAGAAGATCAAATTAATATACTTCCTATAGTACCATTTTTGTTATTAAATCTATTATGAATCCCTGAGTGATAAGATATCCTTTCAATGCTTTAAAAGCTAAACTTCCGGCCGGGCGCGGTGGCTCAAGCCTGTAATCCCAGCACTTTGGGAAGCCAAGGCGGGCGGATCACGAGGTCAGGAGATTGAGACCATCCTGGCTAACCCGGTGAAGTCCCGTCTCTACTAAAAATACAAAAAACTAGCCGGGCGAGGTGGCGGGTGCCTGTAGTACCAGCTACTCGGGAGGCTGAGGCAGGAGAATGGCGTAAACCCGGGAGGCGGAGCTTGCAGTGAGCTGAGATCCGGCCACTGCACTCCAGCCTGGGTGACAGAGCGAGACTCCATCTCAAAAAAAAAATTTAAAAATAAATAAATAAATAAATAAATAAATAAATAAAATAAATAAAAGCTAAACTTCCTTTGCTGGGCTTCAAAAGAAATCCACATTATATTAATTTATGATCCATGGTAAATTAGTGAATGAGAGGTTAATAGAGCTCTAAGGTATCATTTCCTTTAAGCAAAGGTTCTTAACCTTTTTCTTAATCTTTGGTAGTCTGGTGAAGCCTATGTATTTAAATGCATAAAATAAAGTATGCTGTGTTACACAGGAAATTGATTATACTGAAATATTTTAAAATTATAATATAGTAATATATGTGTTCCTCGATACATGAAATATTAAGATCTAGCAGTGATCTAAGGACTCCCATAATTTCAAAGTAGTGATGAATAGAAACAATGTTTTGAGATAGCTACAACATGTCACGTGGTATGAAAATATCCGTGATTTCTGTTGGTGACAAAGTCACAAGTTCTGCTGATTCTACTGTGGTTTCTTGCCTATATCCATACTTTAAGGAAATGCTAAATTTGAGTTAAAGATTCATAAACATAAATATTTAATTTTTTCTCCATTCAAGTTCATGGGCCTATAGGCCAAGGATTGCGCAGTTAAGAAATTCAGTATTTGTCAGTTTCCCTATTGTAAAATAAAATTAAAATATATTGTTCATCCCAACTGCAGAGGTTGCATGAGGAACAGAAAACCCAGGGCTCTGAAAAGGGATGTTCTTGGCTTCTAGTCTGTGATAAAGCACACACAAGACCTGCTCTCCAAATGCCTCCTCTCTAGATGAAGGGAAAATCAGAAAGCAACAAGGACTTCAGGCTGTTACCTGGCTGGGCTGGGACCTGACTATGCCAGCAGGGATAAGGCCTCTTCCCTCCTTAGATCCAGGTTCCAGATGAACAGGTGGAACTAGCAGACCTCAGTGCCCCAAGGCTCTGAGTCTCTGGGAAAGAGGAAAGTAATAGAAAACAGTGTGTGACCAAGTGCCAAGTGGCAAGGTAGCCATCAAGTAGCAAATTAGCCATCAAGTCACCAACTGCATGAGCCCATTCTTCTCAACTTGCCCCTCAGTTCATGCTGTCTTCTTGTTTCCACTCCACTAATCGTACTACTGGGTCCAGAGCTATCTGGTTTGTCTAATTCTTGAGTTTTCATTTATTTATTTTGAAACAGGACCTCATTCTGTCACCCAGGCTGGAGTGCAGTGGTGTGATCATGGCTCACTGCAGCTTTGGCCTCCCAGGCTCAAGCGATCCTCTAGCCTCAGCCTCCTGAGTAGCTGGGACTACAGGTGCAGGCTACCATGCCCAGCTAATTTTTTCATTTTGTAGAGATGGGTTTCACCATGTTGTGCAGGCTGGTCTGGGCTCAAGCAGTCCTCCTGCCTCAGCCTCCCAAAGTGCTAGGTTTACAGGCCTAAGCCACTGCACCTGGCGTTCGAGTGTTTTTAGTGAAGAGTTTTTGCACCTGGCTGCAAACACGTGCTCTGTGCACTGTGCTTTCTTTTCATATGGCTGTTTGTGCTCTGCTCTCTGGCTGTGGTCTCCAGCACTCCAGGTAAGCAGGACCGCATAGCTGCAGTACTGGCTGGTAATGACACCACTCAGTGAATCTGGTGGGGGAATCTGAAATACTCAACTGCTCGCTCATTCAGGTGGCTAGGTCTTAACGCATTTCAGAAATACAGGGTTCAATGATCATTACAAAGCACTACCCTTACTTTCCCAAACCCATGCCTGTGGGTCCCAGGTGCAAGTGTGGGAAGCGCCCTTTCCACCACCGCTAAGAGGAAGCTCACGCTCCCCCTAGTGGCCATTCACTCTGCATTACAGAAAAATGAAATTCAGTTCATTTCCTGGATCCATTCATCCAGTCATTCAGTAAATATTTATTGAACACCCCAGGCGCTGTTCCAGGTTTTCTTTTTTCTTTCCATTTTTATTATTATTTTTTGAGACGGAGTCTTGCTCTGTCGCCCAGGCTGGAGTGCAGTGGTGCGATCTTGACTCACTGCAACCTCTGCCTCGTGGGTTCAAGCAATTCTCCTGCCTCAGGCTTCCGAGTAGCTGGGATTACAGGTGCCCGCCACCACGCCCGGCTAATTTTTGTATTTTTAGTAGAGACGAGGTTTCACCATGTTGGTCAGGCTGGTCTCGAACTCCTGACCTCAGGCCCTCGATCTCCCAAAGTGTTGGGATTATAAGCACGAGCCACCATGCCCAGCCTGTTCAAGGTTCTTGACTTGACTGACTGGTCATTTATACCCTATTCTACTTCTAACAAAAATATGATGCAGCTTACAATAAAAGCATATAGAAGACAGCTAAAGTAAGAGAGACAGTAGCAGCAAATGAAAAAGGACTGATAATTCTACTAAGAACAGGAAGTAAAACAGTGATCACTTGAGCCTTAAATGTATTTCTGACCTTCCTGGTAGCCAAGGCAAAGCAAAATGAAATGAAAAGAATGAAAAGTCAAGATGCTGTCTATAGCTTTAATACACTGAAAGAAATACAGAAAAACATCCTCAAGATGCAAATGACTAAGACAATATCCCAGGCACAGTGGCTCACACCTGTAATCCCAGCACTTTGGGAGGCCGCGGTGGGCAGATCAACTGAGGTCAGGAGTTGGAGACCAGCCTGACCAACATGGTGAAACCGTCTCTACTAAAAATACAAAATTAGCCAGGCTTGGCGGGGGCATACCTGTAATCCCAGCTACTCGGGAGGCTGAGGGAGAGGAATCACTTGAACCCGGGAGGTGGAGGTTGCAGTGAGCTGAGATCGCGTCATTGCACTCCAGCCTGGGCAACAAGAGTGAAACTCCATCTCAAGACAAAAAAAAAAAAAAAAAGACTAAGATAATCAACTCCCTGGACAGTGGCTGGGCAGAAGATGCAAAACTGCACTTTCTGTATCAATATATATAGATCAATATAATGATCCTCTCAAAGGCAAGGATATAACACTTCATTGTAATTCATTGAAAAGTCTTTCAAATACAGACCAAAGCAGGATACTTTCTGGTGTTCACAGTTGCCTGGGACAGAGCTTAGAGAACTCAAGGTAAGTGTATGCTGCATCCATCCCATCATTGTTACTCTTCACTTTTAGAGACTTTGATCCTAGTTTCTCTAGACTTTGATTCTAGCTTCTATAAACCATGTCACTCAAGCACTTGGTTAGCACTTAGAACACCAACCAACCAACCCTATGGTTTAGCATCTACTGTGAGTAAAGCCTTCTATTGACAAGAATGACACATATTCTTTTTTTTTTTTTTTTAAGATGGACTTTCGCTCTTGTCACCCAAGCTGGAGTGTAATGGTGCAATCTCTGCTCACTGCAACCTCCACTTCCCAGGTTCAAGTGATTCTCCTGCCTCAGCCTCCTGAGTAGCTGCGAATGCAGGGGTGTGCCTCCAAGCCTGGCTAATTTTTTTTTTTTTTTTTTTTTTTTGTATTTTTAGTACAGATGGGGTTTCACCATGTTGGCCAGGCTGGTCTCAAACTCCTGACTCCAGGTGATCCACCCACCTCAACCTCCCAAAATGCTGGGATTACAGGCATGAGCTACCACACCCGGCCGATGTACTCTTTTGTTTAACTTTGGAAGGTCCACTCCAAAAAATGGGTGACTTTTTGCAATGATGCAAGAGGTATAGCATAGAGCATCATCCTATGGTAGCATCAAGATTGACCAGAAACCTAGGAAGGTCATTTCTCTTTGGTTTCCAGTGTTCCTCTAGTGTCCCCCCGGCTTGATGGCGTTGGACATTTGATTGAACATGTTTGAACCACGGTTGCTTCATTTCACCGGGACTCACTACAGATTTTCAACAAGGGTAGTACCATACGCCCGTCTTTAGGAATGTGTGGAGTCTATTTGATTGTCACAGTGACAAATAACTATCTTGTATTTTCATGTAAATGTTGACAAGTCATTTAGGCAAAAAAAAAAAATTTAATTATCTAACAACAGAATTTAACTCATATTTAAAAGTATATTTTGCAGGGTTTTGATATACTCTAAATGTTCTAGAAATGCAACTAGTGGGCTGGGCGTGGTGGCTCACACCTGTAATCCCAGCACTTTGGGAGGCCGAG